GTGAGCCAAAATGCTGAACTGCATCCAAAAATACTGCTCTAGTGAGATTCCTGCAAATTCTTTGAGAAGCCGTATCTGTCTTCCTGAAGCGTTATCTTGCAGCTGTAGCTGTCATGTTTCTGGGTCTGCGTCGTGCTTTGCACTTCTTTCACCGCGTTGAAAACGCTGCAGCTTTTGCGTTTGATTTTTAAAACAGATGCTGATGAGGTAGATTCTCAGGCTGAGATTAGATGAAGGCCTGTTCGGCCCAGCTTGAAAAACGCAGCACAAAAGAACACTGATTGGAAGTTTTCAATCGAGTTGCTCAGCAATGCTTTCTGTGCTATTTTTGCTTGCTCACAAGCTTTTTGTTGTCTCCCCTCCCCTCTTTCTTTTGCAACATGCTCAATTTGGATTTTCTCTTCTCTGTGATGCCCTTTTGCTCTTTTTTCTGTGTCTTCTGTCTTTCTCCCTGTCCAAACACCTCCGTTGCTCTCTGTCTCTCGGCTGCTCCTTCTGCCTGATTGTTGTGGCTCCAGTGTCTGTGGCTCCTCCACCTCCTCCTCCTGTGGTCCAGCTGACCCCACAGATCCCCCTGACCGGCTTCGTGGCCAGAATGCAGGAGAGCAGTAAGTAGTAGAAAGCAGACAGAAACATACACTTATGTGGTATACCTGCATGTACCGTTAAAGTTAGAAATGTAGACTGTACAAACACAGCCATGTGCAAAAGTCACAGGTATGAACCTCAGCATGCACAAAATTTACGCAACGTCACCAGTGCACTAGACAGGGCTCTGAGCACATTTCAGGACCCACACACTGCTACACTCACACTACCTTATCGCGCTGGATGCATGGCTGAGGGTGGAGCACCCTCAGATGTCTGTCTGTTGCCATGGTGATAGATCACTGAAACCTCTCAGTCCACTGAGGAGAGAAAATGTGACCCGCTGCTGCATCCTGATTCACCAGCCGCTTGTCTGCAAAGACGCAGAGATCAAACTATCTGTGTCTCCCTAGTTCAATGAACCGAAGAACAGTTCTGCACGAGTCATGGAACGACATGAACAATGGAGTTAGTGTGTGTAGTTTGCACTTTTTAAACTGGCCTTAAACTAATAATTATTGCTAAATCAGCTGGTGGCTTTTTTCTTGTTTTTCTGGTGCACAGGAAGCGGCACGTTTTATATTTCCACCACCAGCAACAGGGATTAATGTGCATGTGGAAGAAGAGCTGATTGGTTAGTCTGAACACTAATCACTTTGACTAAACTAGAGATGGACCGATCCGATATTACGTATCGGTATCGGTCCGATACTGACCTAAATTACTGGATCGGATATCGGAGAAAAATAAAAAATGTAATCCGATCCATTAAATATCACGAAAGCACCTCACAAAACTTGCAACACGCCGTAACTCACCTCAGAACGTTAGCACGTCGGAGCAGTATGCATCACGTGATAGAGTGGCTGTGGCATGCGGGACCTGTCGGTGGTCTGGATAGCATTTGGAGCTTCGCTAGCAACCCAGCATTTCATCTCCGACAAAGTTATCCCCGAGAGAAGTAAAGCAAGTGTGTAAGTCCAACTCTGAATGTTTGTAAAGCACTCCTGCGTTAAGCTTAACGAGCGACTGCCTCTCGCTCTCCGGCTGCTACTTCAATCATGAAACTGCTTAATGATCAGCTGATCGGCTTTTCTGTCGGGAGTAGTCTCTCTTGTTTGTTTTTGGCCCACTTTGCACCAGACAGAGGAAACCAGCGGCTGAACAACAGCAGCACGTTTAAGCTTGATCAGCTGTTGTTACAATTTATTTATTATTACTTTCTACTCCAGGATCTTTTTCTACGTAGCTGACGGCTGGTAACTGTGCAGGGGCGGATCTAGCAAAGTTTAGCCAGGGGGGCCGATAGGGCATGAACAGGGAGAAGGGGCACAAAGACATACTTTTCTTTCTTATTCTCATTTAAAATGTCGAGCTTTTAATAAATAATTATCTGACACCCAAAGTTTTAATTTGATGTAAAAGGAATAGAAGTCAATTACTGTATATAGTAACTATTAAGTCTAATATATATACCCTAGTAAGCTATAGTACTTTTTCCTTTGGGAAGGTACCATCTGTGCAGTCTGCAATTTTGTTGAAGAAAGATGTTGAATCTATTTAATATTTCTTGAAAAATAATTGATTTCTGTGCATTTTTTTTCACACTGCATCAAATTAAGGTGATTACGTCGATTAAGCATCATGAGGTGGAGCGTGAGGGGTGGTTCCCTATTTTTTATTTATTTATTTTTGTTGTTGCTGGGATTTGGAACCCTATTAGTTAGATTGCTTAATATTTACACTAAGTACTCTTTAAAATACCAGAATAGGGAGGGTGGTGTAGGTCTAAGTTTATTAGATTGATCAGTATTGCTGAACTATGAAACATTTTTTTTGTATACAGGTATAACAGAATAGCTTTAGTGTAGTTGTTGTTTTAAACTTGAGTATGAACTTGCAGACTTGCAAAATGCAGCAAGATATTTAAAAAACAGTTTTGTTGGTTAAAAAACACTATATCGGATTCATATCGGTATCGGCAGATATCCAAATTTATGATATCGGTATCGGTATCGGACATAAAAAAGTGGTATCGTGCCATCTCTAGACTAAACAAAGAAAAGGTCTGCTGCTAAAAAGAGGTCACCTCACAGAAAATACTGATGTTTAACGAGCGAGTTCTTGTGAGAAAATGCCACAAAGAGAAGCACTTTAATACTAGGAAAAAAACAAAGAAACGGGGACCAGTACAAGTGCCTTTTAATGTTTTTTTAATGGGAATGGTCTTGCTCTGTCTTTGCCTGAAGTATATTGCGTTACTAAAAGCCTAATGTATGTGGTGTTTATACAAGGGGAAATAAAACCAAAGTCAGCTATTGTTTTATAGCGAAGCGTTTTCAGCTGTTAACAGCTCCAAAGTGAGCTGTTGGACCTGTTGTAAAAAAGGTTATGCAGGCAGATTGGAGAGTTGCATTAATTTCAGTCCCCTGTGCCAGTTCTTTAATTCAAGAGCAAGCTTATGAATTAGATCAGATGTGCAGTTTCTCTTTAATCACTGGGCTCGAGACTACAAAGTTGCAGGGAGACCTGCTCCAAGAGGACTCTCTTAGCACGAGAACTTATTTGGTTAAAAGACTGAAAAAAGTCAGGGCTTTCAAAATCACACCAATCCACCCATTTTATCACGTCGTATTCTTGTGAAGTATGCGCTTGAGAAGTGCCGCTGTTCACTTCTCACTGGACGAATTTAAAAATGCAAATCATACAGTGTTACAGTACGTGTGTGGTTGCATAACACAGCTACTAAATGAATCCTGTCATTTAAAGAAAGAAGAAAACACATTCAGGTGTGATTAAGCGCCACCGTTACTTAAACAACTACAGGATAAACTGAAGAACATGGCTGGTAGTTGTAGTACTAGAAGTAATAAATAGAAAGACTGCAACGGCTACTGAGGACAACTGTGTCCAGGAAAGTTCAGCATCCTCTGAGAGATTTCACGTTTACAGAAGTGATACAGAGTGACTGTTTTATAATGTTAACTGAATATTTCGGGAACTGTAAACAGCCACTTGTAGTGCAGAAGATGTATTGATGTTTCACTGATAGGAAGTTTATAATAATAATAAATGATTAGTAAGTAAATGAGTGCCACGGGGACTTGGATCAGTGCTAGTATTAACTGATGCTGCAGGATCAGTGTCCAATTAAAAACTAAAGGGACCCACAGCTGCCCTCTAGTGAGCAGTTAAATCACTGAACATTTAATGTGTGTACACAGTTAGAAGACTTGGAATGATTTAGATCATAGTTGCTTGATAATTATATATGTTAAAATAAATATAAGAAACGGTGCATGGTGCACACTAGTCTCTCTGACCTGACCAGGCCATAACAGTAACATGTTGAAAAAATATATAGGATTTTGAAAGGTGAACACTATCACAGTGCAAGAGAACATTTTGAAATATCCCCAGACTGAGAGATCTGAACACACTCCTTCCTCATTATTTCTTTAATGCCTTATCACCTCTGCTTCCTGCCGTGCTTCAGTAACAGACAGCCCAGCCCCACCTCCTCCACCTCCCCCAGAGGACATTGGTGTCTTTGAAGAGCCAGCTCCCCCTCCTCCGCCTCCACCTGTAGACTACGAGGAAGAGGAGGCCGCAGTGGTTCACTACAACGATCCCTATGCTGATGGAGACCCCCAGTGGGCTCCCAAGAATTACTTAGAGAAAGGTTAGTACCCCGAGTTAATCATTGTATTTAGACTTTCACCAGTGCAATGAGCCATTTTACTGTTTTTTTCATTTTCCACAGTTGTGGCCATTTATGACTACTCCAAGGACAAGGAGGACGAGCTGTCCTTCATGGAAGGGGCCATCATCTACATAATCAAGAAGAACGACGATGGCTGGTTCGAAGGCGTCTGCAACGGCGTCACTGGACTCTTCCCTGGAAACTATGTTGAGTCGATCATGCACTATGCTGACTAAAGAAAACAAACAAAAAACCCCACACGTGATGGCGCTGCAGAGGTAATCCGTGAAGATGTACAGACGTATGCGGCGCAGCGATAGCAGTTCATACAGTTTGGAATGAAGTGCCATGGTGAATTAATAAGTAGTTTTCTTCTTTTGTGGGGAGAGGAAAGGGTTTGATCTACCCTATTAAAAAAATAAATACATAAATAAGATGCCGCACAAAGTAGGAGGGTGTTGAAGCTTTGCAAGGCCTGTGTCTGGAAGTAAAGGCCTTTTTTTTCCACCACTGTCATCAAACAGCAACATTTTGCCTCACGACAAAATGACGTACATCAATAACAACTTCAGTGGATACAGAGTAAATCTAGATGTAGTGTTGCTTTTTCCGAGTATGCAGTAGATCCAGAAAGTGACGCACTGCTACAGTTTTACCGAGACAGTGTAACCGCTTTACGGTAAAGTGCTGCACACTTTTTCCTTCTCGTTTATTTGTACTGTAGACCATCAGACCAGCTCTTTCCTTCCTTTTGAAAAACAACGATCTTACATTATCAGAGACCTGAAAAGGACAAACGAACGTCATCAAGTGCATTAGGACACAGCTGAATGTGCCGTTGACGTCCAAATCACACAAGGTGTTTAAAAAATATATTAAGGAGGATAATGGCCAGAAGGAGCTGTGTATTCAGTATGCTCTCTGCTGTTGGTGGGGGTTGAAGTGAGTGTATAGACTGATCGCAAAAAAAAGAAAAGAGTTTCTTCTTTCTGATGGAGTCTCTTTCTGTTCTCTAACTTGTATATAAACTGTAATGTGAGAAGCTGCCAGTACAGTACATTTGTCAGTGTGTTTCACCAGTGTTTCCATCAGCGTCAGTGGGTGGGGGGAAGGGCGTGGTGCCAAGAGTGGATGTTTTGAGAATTTTTTACTTTACTTTTTACTTTATTTTTACTTGAAAATTAATTTTATTCATCACCCACAGTGCCATTTTAACGTGATTCAGGCAAAGTGGTTGTGTACAGGCATTTATTTTTCTACGTTAGGTCACAACTATATCGTCTTGATCGCCATCACTGTATTTGTCGATGCTGTCCAGCTACTGTAGCAGAGCGCTCACGTGCTTGCTGCTTCGTGACGCGAAGCAGAGGAAGGACTAAGTCGTGTGGCTTTCTTGTTTTTTTTTCATGTTGTTTCCATTGTGCACTGATTAGTTAGCGGTAACTGTGATGACTTTTATTTCCATCATGGCTTTTATCACAAACACAAGCGTTGCCATCTCCAAAGTATCAACTAACCTTTAGGCTTTGTTTGTTCTTTCAGTGGTTGCTGGTGCGGTGCTTTACATTGGTGCTTAATAACCATAATCACCAACCCAAACAACCTCAAGTCCAAGACTCCTCCCACACAGAAATGTAACAAAGGACTTTTAGTGTCGTTATCGATCGTTTTGATTGTAATCCTCGGCCACTTTTGTGTTTGTAGTGAATGTAGGTGACTCGGCGATGGTGATGTGCTTCAGCTGGAGTCGCTTTATGTCTTTTTGTCCGTTCTGTGCTACACACGAATGACACCCGCTACCTGCAGTGAAGGAAGGAATCTCAATCTTTAGGTCTTAAAAGTTCCGATTTGTCCTACGAAATGAGATGCCTGTTCTGGCGGAGTGATTGTTGGTGCAAACTCGCTCTCAAATATCATTCAATATAATGCCTGTCTCAGAATATATGTTTGTAACAAGTCATATGAACATAATCACGTGTACTTTAGAATAATAGGGGCATTCAACTTTTATTTTGAAAGGGAACATTTTCAAGGTTTTTAGGCAGAATATGACTCAATCATATCGACAGTATTCATAAAGCATGGAAGTATCTAAACGTCATTACAGTGAATGATTCGCCACTACATCCCTTTCTTGATTGTATTTATTCCATCATGAGGTCATTTTGTTTTGTGAGGACTTTTTCTACCTGATGTATTTCTAGCTCTGCATTCAGCTTCTTTTTATGTGTGAGACTGCTGAGGAAGGATTCGATAGCAGTTTTATGTAAATGATTTATTTATACTTACTTTTTTCATAGAGTAATCATGAGACAACCACCGATGTGCAAAACTTTGTAATGTTTACCACTTAACGTCTCTAGCATTTCAGGGCATCACAGGTCAAGGCGCCTTTCTTTGATGTGCGTTTTCTTATGATCATTTGTGGAAATGAAAAGAAAAACAAAAAAACATCTGAAACTTTAATGTTCATTGGAGCAGAATGCGATATTTGTCTTCTCCTCTCAGTTTGTACATAGGATGTGTTCATTGAAATTTATGTACAGCCTTTTTTGTAATAAACAGCTCGATGAAACAAATGACAGCACTGTGAGTTTTGTGCCAATGAGCTGTCTCAAAAGATGGAAACAATCTGCAGCATACTGTAAACATGCTGTCTACTGTATGTTTGTGCCCCCAAATAAAAACCACAAATAAATATAGATTTGTGAATAAATAACTTTCAAAACATGCGCTTATATCTTACCACTGCTATGTGTTTATGTGTAACTGCAGCCTTATTTTAGGAGAAACTGGCTAAATCGAGGCTATCTGAGATTAATTCACGATGTACACAAAGTCTCAAAAGGATGTACGTTCTGGAGGGGGAGGAGGGATGAAGTCGGGTGGTGGCTCATATTCGTAGTCTTCAGTATGGTTTGCGGTTTTGGGTGCTGATAGACCCGCCTCAGGGGTGTGACCACTGGATTTTTCTGTAAAGACACATAAGAATGAAATTAAGAAGTCTTGAGTTTCAGATTCAAATATTCAGGACTTTATGCCGAAAATAACATAATACAAAGATGATACAAAGAAACTGTTCAAAAAATGAATAAAAAAGGTAACACACACATCGAGTCTTGATGAATGAAATATTCAGGGTGAAAATCTTTGCTGATTTAGATTGTTCAATTCATCGAGCACAAACTAAAAAAAACACAAACACATAAAAAAACAAAGTTCAAAACTGAAATCACAGTCTGATCCAACTGGTGCCCCTGTGTAGCTGCATCCAGTCCCAACAGCCTCTGGGCTTCTGGTCAGAAATCGGATCGTGTCCTGCTGGATCTCTTCACAGACATGGATCAGGATATCACTGAGCTCCTGGACAAGTCGCTGTTTGGCAGTGTTGGATTCACCAAAGTTGGATTCAACTCTGGTGAAGGTGAGGGCCAGTCAATGGGCAATCAGCGCCTTCGACGTCCAGGCACTGCTTACACACTTGGGCTGCATGAGGCTGGCTACTGCCCGGAAACAGGAGAAACCCAGTCCTCACAGCATGAACATAATGTCTAATGATAGGCTGGACAAATTCATCCCAGTTCACAACAGTCAGGGTGGTATTCGTCATTCAACATGACACTGCCAAACTGGCACACTGAATAATGTTGAAGGCAGCATAAAATCTGACTATTTGATGCCTGTGACATGAGCCTGCTTTCATTTGTAAAGACGACAGAGTGCCAGTGGTGGACCTGCCAGTTCTGGTGTTTTCTGGCAGTCAAGCTGCACAGTCCTGGGCTGTGAGTACAGGTCCTACTAAATGATGTGGGGTCCTCATGACACCATCACAAAGTGGGATTCTAACAGCTTGGTCAGAAACACAAACGGTAGGCTGTTGGACGTCATTTTATGTTCCTCTATGCACAGAGGAGCAGATACTGGTCGTGCTGGCCTTCTTTGGCCCTGTCCAACTCTTTTTATGTAATAGGCTGTCTCCTAGTATCTCGCCAACACTCTTGAGACCGTACTGACAGACATAACAAACCTAGTGATGCCAAACATGGATGTGCCATCCTGGAGGAGCTGTTCCACCAGTGCAACATGAATGGGCTGCAAACACCAACTCGCTGCATCAGTAGTGACAAGAATATTTCCAAAAAAGGAAACTTAGAGATAAATCAGTCGGGAGGGATATGAAGAGATTAATGATCTGTGGCCACACAAGAGTAAAGTAAAGCAAAAGTAACTATGGGAATGGGTTCATAACTGTACAATGAGAAATAGTTTAAGCTAAACAATTTTAATTTAAAATTTCATCACTCAACGTAAAATAAGCAAATATTTGGGGCTTTGGGCAGCACGGTGGCACTGTGGTTAGCACTGTTGCCTCACAGCAAGAAGGTTCTGAGTTCAATAGGGTGGGGCAAAGTCTCACCGTGGTTTCATTCTTAACCTGATGTGATAGTAATGACCCAAGCCATTTTACACACCATGGCTCATGTGATGATGTACATGATTATTAGAAGGTTAGCGACTACCACCAAAGAGGACGACCCCCACTAGGGTTTAAACGCCTATCCATGTTTTGTTTTTAAAATTGCAGAAGGATGTGAGGATGAATGTCTTCACAAGCTTAACGATTTCCAGTTGCCTTATTTTAGCACACAAAGAACCGTTTTCACTCATAGTGCACAGATTGTTATAATACTTCTGGAAATTTGCATGTCAATATATCTGCATGCAATTCTAAGGGCAAGTAACATTAAGGAGGATCAGCATGTTCATTATTCTAACATAGTTATATCTTAGTACAGACACTGAAACTTACCTTTATATGCAGCAGACTGAAGGGTTTTCGTAGGAGAAGCTCTCTTCATCGCTGCCTGGTAGTTTTTATACAGGGCAGTTCCATACTGAACACACACAGAGGACACAGTGACATATATATACATATATCTTCTATATGTATAAAAGAGGGCTGTGTTTGCACTGTCCATTCATTCACACCGTGGCAGACATTTCTGGAGTCACATAATTACATGACACACCAAAAAGTAGTTTCTAAAAGGTGTAGACTCCATCCATCAACCTGAACGAGTGGACCGTTTGAACACGGTTTTTAATTTCACTGTGTATGGCAAAGCGAGCTGTGCTACAGTTGGGCTGAATCTGACCTTGGCTATTCTGATGGAGTTGACCCAAAGCACCAGTGTTTTTTCATCATCACAGCAAAGTAACTTGATGTAGGGAGAGTCTTTCTGGATGCATGGGTGCTGGGAAAAGAGTGACAACAAAGAAAGCTTTTATGCCAAAGAGGACGGCCAGTCATTTAGTATCACAGTCCACTTCATTGATGGGGAGAAAAGAGAAAGAAATGGTCAACAGGTATGCTTTCTGGTATCAGAAGGCTCTAAAACGCTGCATCCTACGTTACCCATAAGTCTAATTCTTTTAGCAACCTGCGAAAAGCCAACATCTTTCCAAACCTGCACATTTAAGCTCACAGTTACAAATCCTGTGACATCATGCTGACACCATTTACTCAAGATGTCTTTCAGCGACACACAAAAAATGTCCCACTGTTTTCCAAAGGTAGGGAAGTGGGTCTCATTTATATTAAATTAAATGCTAGATTTTGGTGCTTCTGTAAAAATATATATTTGTAATCCACAAAAGCATCCAGCAGAGGGCAGGCCATGCCAAACTGTAACTACAGAGTGGGCCGTGAATAAGCACTGAAGGGTTAAATCATTGCTCTGCCACTGTCATTGTGGAAATCTTACGCGTGACTAACACTACATCTACAGAGTGCACGTGATTGTCTGGTCAAATTCTTACAGCTAAGAAGAATCTGTTTAACACACTGAGAAACGACCCCAAAAACAGGAAACTAGGTTGCACCCACTGGTCAGTATGGGCGAAACCAATTGAGGTTTTGTTTTTCTAGTACCACTTCCTCACTTAACTGCATCATCTGAAAAAAGCCATCTTGATCTGTTGTGCTGGAGTGCAGCTGTATGCTGAGTGCATCCGGTATCATTTAACTGCGGTCACTTCGGTTGGTGTGATATTTGAAACACATGTTAATGGAGAACAATATGAGTCAGTATGAGTCTTAAGCTACAGCTGAGTAGCCCTCAGATATAAACTTACATGGCCTTCAAATAGTACTACCTCAGGTCTGCACTTTGCACCACTCCATGTTTAGGCCTGCCCCTGAACTGAATTAAAATAAGTGATAAAAACCAAACCACAATCTTCTTGTTGCACTCTGCACTTCTGGTCACTGGTCTGTTTTATTCTTGTATGTTCAGGAAGCCTTCAGAGTGCTTAAAACAGATCAGACTACTTGAACTAATGAGAATGGATGCATCTCAGACTTAAAAATGGTAACTCAGGTAATTTTTCTTATAAGTATGCAAGTGTCCTTACACTGTGACTTTACAAAGAAGGGTCCCGAGTAAACAGCTGATCTTGTTTACAGCGGTTTTGTTGTTGTGTGATTGCAACATCAGCCTATGATCAGAAAGAAGCGTGAAGAAATAGGAAAGTTGCATAAAGGGCTTCTTGATGCCATCGCCACTTTAAGATTCAAGCTGCTGAGCTGACCTTTAGCATGAAGCAGAAGTTGGTGGGAGCTCTGTACTTCTGTTTGTAGTTCTTGGTCATATAGATGTTGATTTTTTCAAAATGGACAAAGCAGGCGAGATCAGTGGACGACTGGAATATAGAAAACAACAGGATATTATGACTCTATGGCAGACAGATACATAGAACAAAAGCTCAGACATTGGCTTCCTTATAAAATAACAAAATGTTTGTGATTTTGTCTCATTGTTTAGCAGCGCTTGTGGTAGGTATTAAAATCAAGGCAGATGGCCTCTGATGCAAATCCACGAGTTCACACTCACGCTCAGTACCATGGAAATTATACTGTTAATCTCTGTTAATCTCCCTTTAATTTCAATGTTCAACACATCATGTTCACACATGTCAAAAGATGTTGATCTTCAGCTGAAACTTCAAAGTCTCACTTCTTGGAACTGTAGATGACCAACGGATGACAGCGCCGTACTTTATTTCTTCTTTTTGCTCTTATTCTCATGTAGACACATAAGACACAAACGTCTGCTCCATCCATGTCTCCTTAAATGATTCCTTATATGTCTGTGATTTGCACATCTGCCTCGCACAGTGTTGCGAATTCTTTCACTCGGACGATTTTTGGTGTCAAGCCTGGACGGGCGGTGTTTGTCTTCTCCGTTTTAGTGACAAAGACGACATGTTTCCCTTTAGCGTCGGCGAGGCAGCAATTCAAATTGTCCATCTTCATTTCTCCAGCTCTTCCTCGTGTCTTTCCAGCTCTGTGATGCTTGACCGCTCAGATGGATGCCATTATGCACTTCACACGCAGGCAAAATATTCTTGGATTGTTGTTTATTGGCTGCTCTCATACTTGCTTTAACAATTCGATTTAGTTCAAGTTTAGTTATATAGCACAAAATCTCAACTACAGTTGCCTCAAGGTGCTTTCTATTGTAAGGTAAAGACCCCACAGTAATACAGGGAAAAATGAGCAAGTACTTGGTAACAGTGG